TTCATGCAGAAAGCAGCCACTTGCAGTGGAGTTTGTAAGAGGAAACAGGGCAGATGAATAACAAACCTTCCCCAGTTCATAATCAAAGCTTCCAGCTACCAGCTATTTGAGAACCTATGGAGCCAGAGTTTGCATCTCAATTACCATTTAATGAGCACCAATGTACCAGCTCCTCACATGTCTGTCCCGCTCCTTTTTCAATCCATCTGCATGTCTGCTCTCTATAACAACCCACACCAGCAATGAGTTCACAGACAAACAATGTGCCACACAAAAGTGTGTTTTTCCATTTTAACCCTGTTGCTAATCATACCAGGTGCTCCTTATTTTTCTTTCAGAGTAAGGTGAGCAACTGCTGCCCATTCCTCTGCCCTGCAGCAGCTTGGACCTGTGCATTAAGCTAATTCCAAAGTGTTTTTACTGCCTTCACATAAGTCACTCTATTCAGCCATCTGCCACTTCCCTGGACTTTTGCTAGATGTTCCATTTTTAATCTTACCCAAGATTAATCTCTCTTGTTCAGCCTCCGCTCTCAAAGGACACAAGCGCATTCCCACAGGGTGGGCTGTAGGAGGCAAGAGCTGCCTGGTGGTGGAAAGGGACTGCCACCACCTCCAGCTGGGTTTGCAGCTGCCCTTCCATTCTGTTCATCTTTGCTCCTTTCCACAACGGCACAGACCCAGGAAGTTTCATTGTTGCTAGTTCCTCCAGTACTGACATTAAGGAGCCTTCTTCCCATTTGCTCCACACCTCCTTGCTAACAAAGAACCCCTCTGAAGGGCATCCTGCAGCCCAAACCCCATCCCACCCCACCTTCTCCCGATCTCATTCTCTGAGTTAACTTAGCACTCGGAAAGGCAGAAAAGAAAGACACCAAATGAACTTGAATGCATGCACTCAGCAGTCTGGCCAGCAATGTCTTTCTTCAGTTGTTCTTTGTTTACACCTCTTCTGATGGAGCTACAGGTTCTGAACTAGAGGTTTTCAGGAAGCTGTAGAAGACATTCAAACTTGGCTCTTGCTCTCGCATTGATCCCTTCTGGAAATTCCACCTGTGCAATAGCTGTTGGGAACTCACGCCTGACCTCTTGCTGCAAGTCTGCATCAGACTTTTGTGCTCAGGAGGATACAAGACTCGCTTCTGCTGCACTACGCCTGCACTGGTGAGGAGTCTGCACAATCCCCACCAGTCTGCTCAAACCACTGGCACAACTCAACCCCAGTGGTGTGCCGCACTCATCAGGCTGTCCTAACTGGGACAAGAGGAGCCCTCCCCGCTGCCATCTATCCCAAACCCTCACAGCCCCCTCCTGCCATCACGTGCTTACAGGGGCATTCCTGCTTCCCAGGAAATTCCTCCGAGAAAATAAATATCACCAGTCTCACAAAAGAGACGAAACAACATGGCCAGAGGTACAGGTATAGCATTCTCCCAGCAAAAGACAGATAAATAACAGAATTTCCAATTTAGCCCCAGGACTTTAGCGGGACAGTGGGGACTCCGGGGAACAAGAGGACAAAGGATCACCAGACTCCACTGGTTCCTCGGGCCTCGCAACTGTGCTACTGACATGGGAAGAGGGCGGATGAGAACCATTACGACGTGCAGGACAAAGATGGCAGCAGAATACCAAACCTCCTCCAACACAGGAAGCAATGCAGGAGATGCCCGAAAGATTCACTGGACTACGGGTAACAGCATCTCCACATTTCTGGCAACAGGTAGCAGCAACAGAAGAGGCTCATGGGCAACGCAAGCAGCCAAAAACAGGTAATTTAAGATGAAAATGGCAAAAAAGCAGAATAAGGAGGATTGTGTGTGATAAGCCTAGCATGTACTCTCACCCAGCAGCATCTGGAGAGGATTTTCTCCAGCAGGCAGGGAAGAACTCGATTACATCCAGTTAACTGTGCTCTAAACTGATTATGCATGTGCCAGGCTAATGGATTACATTAGCAAGAGGAAAAATAACATCCAATCAATCTCAATTTACTGCAGACCACACCAAGGCCTGAGAGAAGAGAAACCATTCTGTGAACTACCCCCACTACCACTGCACCTTTTCAGCTATCAAAAGAGACACAGCATTACAACCACTCTGATGATGGCAAGCACTGCATGGAGGACTCAGAAAACAGCCTGCTTTATCCAGAGGTCAAGCACCGATTCCCCTAAAAATCCCAAGCAGTGAATCCTACCTTCTGCTGTCCTCTACCATTGCAGGCAGGTGAGCTGTTGGGCAGAGCAACATGAGCTATGTTTTATCATAATCTGAGGTTTATCAAAACAAAGAAAATCCCATACTGTGCATTTCAAGACTTTATACAGACACACGAGTAAGCACACTGTAACGCAATGGAAAGAACAGCACTGACAGCACAGTAGCTAAATCCTAGGGTGCAGCAGGTGAGGATATGCTTGAATGCTACAGCTATGGGCACAGAAACAAATGAAAGAGTCTGCTTACCCCGAGAAGGCCTCAGGTAGGCAGGGATCTCCAGCAACATACACCCTCACCTCCTCTGCTAACCCTTAAACAAGCTCTGGGAGGGGTGGATCCTGGCTCCAGCCCTTCTCATCACTCGGGTACACTGCATGCACCTGAGCTCTCCAAGGCTGGCTCTGCTTTCTCCCCAGGTGCTCCATCACTGCTTCAAGCTGTGATTCAAAATTTTTATTACACTCATGTATGGACCACACAACAGATTTCACTATTCTGTGTGTGTTATTCTTTGGTGTTTCACTGCTTTCACATCAGAAGCAAAGCAGGACTGTAGCAACTCTGAGCACTACCAGGCCTCTTACGATCTTCAAAAAACAACGTTTCCTCTTCACCCGAGCAGAGCATTACAGGAACCTTAGTGCATGAGGTACAGGCGTTTGCGCACGCCCTCCAATCTTTTCTTTTCTCCAGCTGCAGTGTGTCTAGAGCCCTAGTGCTCCAGTTGGTTCTTCTCCAGCAAAAACCACTACCAATGAAGAGTCTGAACATTTTAGTAATTTAAGAGAACAACGTTAAGTGTCAAAACTCAGAGCTTTCAAATGCATCTTTTGGTTTGAATTCCACACCGTTACAATGGGAAAGATTAACGCAGTGGAAGGGCGATACAGGAGTGTAACAACGAAGGGACGAGCACAGATAGGATGGTATTTCAAAGGGAAAGCAGAAGTGCTCATCCATCTCCAAAGATCGAGGCTCACAGGAAGGACTCCACCAAGGAGGGATCTCCAGCCAGAGCCCCTTCCCCAGTGGCAGTCAGCCCTTCAATGAGGTCTAAGAGCTGCAGCCAGGCTCCGTCCCTTCTGGCCCCACAGCTGAACTGCTTCACCTGTGCTCCCAGGGCTGACCGGGTCCTTTCCCCAGCTGCTCAATCAGTGCTTCAGAACGTGACTCAACACTTAGACACACACACAAGATTTGATTCCTCAGCTGGCGTTAGAAAGTGTCGGTGCAACACTTACGACCCCAGCTTCCAATGTGATTTTATTGTCTCAGTCCCTCGCATATCTGAGCAGAGGCACGAGGGAAGACCCAATTGCTTCAGAGCTAGACTCCTGTGTTATGCTGGTTCCCATCACAGACACTTTGGTCTTGCTGGCAAGCTCAGCAGAATTGTATTCTGCTCTTCAACTGACCACCTCCCTGTCAATTTCAGAGAAGTCCAACAATCACATTTCTAGGCAAGCCTTCTGAAATGGTCCTGCTGACATTCTTCCTCCCTGAATAATGCTGGAGCTGCTCACTCCTAGGAAAATCCCAGGAGTTTTGGAAGATAATGTATCTGCACCATGATGTGGGTGGGATACTGTACCGCACAATGCCAAGTTTTAAAGTGCATAAATAAAAATAACTGAGAAACAGTCAAAAAGCAAAAAATATCATCTGCTTAGACATGTATTTCGATATAAAAAAATCTCACTGCATTTGAAGAAAAGTGGGGAAAAGGACAGACGAAAAATAAAAAAAGTGAAAGAAAGAAGGCAATCAGCAGCATAGCATGTGTGAATGGAAGGTATGCAGCTGCTTAGATTTATGGCAATTCGTACCTGATTGATCATACTAAAGCCATTATGGGATGATTAGAGAAAAAGGTGAAGCTTTAAGTCCAGTGAAAATCAATAGAAACGTCTGGAGCAATTCTGCTGCACAAGTGAAAGGACTATTTACTGTATCCGGAGCTCCTCTTGGGTTACAGCCCACAGGGTTCAGGCCAGCAAGGGGTGGGGGTTGTGAGCCAGAGAAATAAGTCAGGGAGAGGAAGATGGCTATAAAGACACAAAATGAGGCCAAAACAAACAAACACACAAAGGGAGGAAGGAAAACAAGATGGCAGTCCCAGGCCAAGTATTACCAGGGATGAAATCCTGCAATGCCTCCAAACCGTCTGCTCATACGCACGATCATGTGTGCACACACACAAGGTTTCTCTTCCCAGCTTCTCCCTTTTCCAGCGTCAAGCAACACTTTCCTTACAGATCCTGGCATTAACATATACACAGCATAAATACACAGTGATGGCAGCCCTCTTCCACCCTTTCTTCCCTCCTTGCTCACTCCACTCAGCACTCTCCATGCCAGAATAACCCATTTCTTTCAGAAGAGCAAAAGCCTTCAGGTTCTCCTGAAGCATCTCAAATGGGTTAACAATCTACCTTACAGAAGGGAGTAAACCGTGGCTAACAACATCTTGCACATTTTCAAAAATGAATGTCATTTGTTGCACATAAAAGTGTCATCTGACACACGTGCAATACTAAGACACTGGAGACCCCAATAAAGCATTCTGAAATCAATGCTTGTTGGCCAAAGGCTTTAAAGTCTGCAGGTGCTGCGATAACAAAAGCCAAAAGCCTGTATTGCACAAGTGAGACTGGGTCCTGCTGGAGAGAGCTGAGCAGCTTGTCTCCAAAGGATCACAATCCACTGAGGTTCAAAGGAGATCTTCCTTTGTTCCAGCACTCAGACAGTGAAGGAAGACAAAGCAAAGCCACCCCTTACCTTATAGAGCTTCAAGCTGGCCTCATGCCTCGAGTTTACTGTGTGAAGACGCAGCTTCTCTAGACTGTTGGTGTAGTAGTCACAAGCATTGCATTTCAGATGTACCGGATTCCCAATGGCCACACACTTCAGCCTCCACTCGTTGGCCTTCCCACCCTCCTTGATGTGTGCTACCAGCTGGTATTTCTGTACATGCTTGTCCGTCTTACAGTGGAGCTGGAAGTTTGCCTTGAGCTGCGTGTTGTAGCGGCACAGCTTGCACTGGTATGAGTCTCCCATCACTGCCTTCCACTCATCTTCAGGGAGGCTGCGCTCCACGTTCATGTGAAGGCCCAGCATGTCCAAATTATCTGTAGTGAACTTGTTGCACACAGCACACTGGAAGAGCTTCAGTGATGGGTCATTTGTCTGCGTGAAACTTTCACCCAAGTTCATTAGCTCCTCAGACACCAGCTGTCCACCGCCTAACCGCATGTCCAGGGGGATCTCTCCACCCACTGCACGAAGGAAAAAGGGGAGAAAGAGGTCAGAAAAGCTCAATCCTTCACTTGCCAGAAGAATAGCACAGAGCGGAACATATGCTCCCAGTGCAACTCTTGCACTCACCAAAATCATAGCAAAAGCAAAGCACTGCTGTCCCTTCATTTATCCCTCAGTTCTGTACTATATCTGCAGGGAAAAAAAAGAGCAGCCAGCATGTAAGGCTGGGACAGGACTGCAGCAGCTCTTGCTACCTACCTTGTAGACACCAAGCTCCGAATATTGTCCTACCCTCTGCCCATGAAAGGTGACAAGAAAAGCTCTACTTCTTACAGTGCTTCTGAGAAGGAAAAGTTCCTTGGTGCTGCACTGAAATTCTCTGTGTTCGTATCAGGAACAGGACAATACTTTATCCTATTTTTAATTGCTTACCTGAAGAAGCAAGAAACGTTGCCTTGTGCAGTACCTGAGCACAGTCTCAAAAAGGAAAAACAAGCAGAGAACAGACCTTGGCCACAAGTATGAGTATTATACACTTACAGCCACGTGAGCACTGCAGTTAGGTCACCACGCTGCAGTCAGAAGCACGCAACATGCAGAACATGGCACGTACAAAACTCAGTCTGAACAGAGCCACTCAGATCCGCTCTCTCGTCCAACAGTTTAAAATGGCAGCCTTCTAAAAACAGTGTTTATAGATGCTTTGTACATACAACCATTATTACCAATGGGAGTGCAATAACACGTCAAGGAAAACCAGCAAGATGCTTGCTGTCTTTAAGTATCATAGATCTACCCTTCAAACTGAGAGCTGAACTCTGTTCTCTTACAGTAAGTGAATACAGCAAGCTCTTATTTCCATCAGAGCTCTCTGAAGTTAGGAACAGAGACTTTTTTCTAACATTAACTTTTTATGTGAAAGCACAGGGACCCACCACAAGCCTCTTCTTAGGACCTTTGCTCCACCTTGCTATCTTTTTCCATTTTGAAGACACTTATGCAGCTTTTCGGTATTCTACTTTGATCTTATGTCATAGCTTGGCTTAAAAATCTGATTTTATCAAAGAAACCTTTAGGCCAGCAGTTACCCAGCCAACCAAAACGTTTCTTATGCTGAGAAACAGCCACCACTGCGAGGCTGCTCTGCACTGGGGCGGGTACCAGAACTGCATGCCAACCTTCCTGAAGGCACGCAGCCACAACTGGCGCAGGCACTGCATGGGACGAGCCGAGTGGCAGCACCCTGCCCTTCTGTCAACGCAGCCGCGCTCCTCTTTCTCAAATCATTTCTATCTTGCCGTGCCACAGCACAATTCCACAGCTACTCCTGCACAGCTGCTCACCGCACACAGAGAGCCATCACTTGCCTTCCACAGCCCGCATCTCCTAATCACAGTAATTTTTCTAAGCATTCCTCTTAGGACACATCTTGAAATCCTCTCTTCGAATCCATCTATCCTTAAAGCGTCATGCAGTAAAAACCTGTAAGCAATATCTTCTGATTTATTAATATTCCTCTCAAGCTCAGTTTTGGACTGAAGAGTAAAAATGGGAAAAATGTGCTTGATTTCTAACAAAGTTCACAGCGTGCGTATGAGTTTAATGAGCTAAACTTGTGTCAAGTGCTTATTGACATGGGAAGGGCCTCCCTCCGTGATCCTCAGCTTGAGATTTATAACCATCAAGTGTACTGCTCACAAATCACTTTCCAGGCAAGCTCACAGATGCTCAAGACCTCGTAATGCACCTCAAGAGGTTTCAGCTAAAGTACTCCCAACTTCTCTCATGCCAGCCTCCCTTACTTCAGCAAGGAGGCTCCGAGTCCCAAAAGGGGTGCATCCCAAGAAACCACCCACAGATGACTGCGTAAGATTACATGCTGCTGTCAGCTATGTTACAAGCAATTGTCAGTTACAGCGGGTGGCAACTTAGAGCTACTGAAAATGTACCAGACAAGCTCATGTCCTTGACCTCCCAAAGATGCAAGCTGGGAAATGCAATAAAAAAGAAAAAAAAAAAAAAAAAAAAAAAAAGATAATTACTTTAAGTTATAATCACTTGAGTCCCTCCATTTTCTTTTTCATTTCTTTTAGTATCTTGTGTTGTTGTTCTCTCATATGACTTTCACGTCCTTCTGGACTAATAATAAACTGTACTATGAATAGCTGAAGGAAAGGAGAACATGCATGAGACCAATGAACCAGCAATGTAGTGCATCAGTAATAATAGCATCAATGGATGGACAAGGGCAGAGAGGGCAGAGAGCAGCACAAATAAATTAGTTCAAAGGAGGGCAGGTAAGTGGCAGATCTCTTTTCACATACTTTCTCAAGGCGCTGTGAAAAACCCTCAGCAACACCAAAAACAATGCAGAAATAAGTCACTTCCATCTGGCATGCCCTAAGTGCTGTGTGGGACTCTAGCATGAAAGCAGAGCTATTACAGAGCGCTGCAGTGGCTGCTGTCAGTCTCAGGGGACATAAAAGCAGCTTGGTGGAGGAACCTTGACAGAAACTTATTCCTTACCCTATTCTAATTCTTGGGCTAAACTTTGTGGGGATAACAGTGTGCCCCCCAGAGTGCCAACACAAACATGATGAATGCTTGCTGTCAGGAAAAATACATTTGGTAATTTATTTCAAAGTGCTTTTGTCAGTTGATGAGAGAAATAATCTTCCCTCCCTATAGCCATTCCTCTTCGGTTTAATGACTCTCCTTCCTCTGTTCAGGCCTCAAATCTTATCTGTTGTGCTGGTGTCACAGGGGTGGTTTCAGCTGAGTTTCTTCAGCAGAGGAACATCTACCGAACTCATCGCAGCTCTCAAAACACACTTACCTTTTCTCCTCAAAGCAATACAATACACAGTGCACCACCTCAGCCCCCAGCTCTGGGAGCACTAGCAACTCACAGAGCCACCCGGACAGTGCCTACGTCCCTTACCAAAGCAAGCCCAATCCATCAGGAAACGCAGTGAAGCATCCTGACTGCAGTAATAAGGAACACTCAGTGCATGTCAGCTACAACTACTGTTCTATTACTTTCCTTCCAGAACTTTTAGAAAATGAACCAAAAAAAGTGACATACTTTCTTAGGATGACAAAATGTTGTGGAAGAACACAGAAGAGAATTCTCTGCTCCATCCCTACAGTGCAGGCTCCATCCTTGGTCAGCACACACGGGCAGTCCACTGCACTGCAGCTGCACTTCACCGTGAGTTGCAGGGACAGAACAAAGCCCGTGACACAAACACAACTCTCCCCTTACGCACAGGAACAGTGGAAAACCCTTCAATCTCACCTAGAGATGGAGCCATTGCTGCCATGGGATTGGCAGGATCAAGCTGGAATCCACTCATCATGAACTGTGCATCTGAGGAAGTGCTATCCATCTTCAGGTTGGGAAGGTTCATGTTCTGTGCCAGGTAGTACTGGTAGAGCTCGGCCTCGGCAGGGGACGGCAGGCTCCCGAGGCCCAGGTGCCGGTTGTGTTGGATCTGGGACATGTTTTGCTGAAGCAGCATCATGTTGTGCATGTGCTTCTCACTGGTCATGTGAATACGAAGGTTTCTGGCTACATTGGTCTCATAGTCGCACACCTCACACCGCCATGTGGGTTTGGTTTTTGGTTTGGTGGGGGAGGGGGCCCCACAGGTGCTGCCAATGTTTGCTGCTGCAGCGGCCGCGGCTGCTGCAGCTGCTGCTGCCGCCCCGGCGGTGTGGCTGAAGACTTGCTCTCCCCCTCCGTTCTGCAGGTTTTGCATGTTGTTGAGATGCTTGTCAGACTGCATATGAATACTGAGGTTGCCTTTGGTAGTAGTGGAGTAGTTACAGACCTCGCAGCGGAAGGGCTTGTAACCACAGGTGTAGCTTTCACCCCGTGCCAGCCGTGGGTGCGGCTGCCCACTTTTGCAGTAGACACAGGAGCCCCCTGGCTCAGGATGTTTCTCCTTCATGTGCGCCTCAAGCGTCTGCTGGTACTTGTAGTGCCAATTGCACTTGGGACACTTGAGTGTCTTACATGAGTTGCGAGAATGCATCATAGTCATGTGGCCACCCAGCGACCGTGAGGAGCCCAGGACCGTGTCACACTTTGGGCACTCCACGCCACTCCCCGAGGGGCACTCCCCACCCCCAAGTTCACAGAGGGGGCCAGCATGCTGGTGATGGGAGATGTAGCTCCCGTCCTCGCCCTCTGTGCTCTCATTTGGTTCTGGTGCTGTGGCATTGTCTTTATTGGCACTTTCATCGATAAAGTCCAGCCTCCTGCTGCCCTCTGCCACATTGGCTCCGCCGCCCTCATTGTTAAAGCTTAAGTGATTCCTCCTGTTTGCACCATCAAAGACAAAGGAAGAAGCAGAATTAGAACTAGTAGAAGCTGTGCCCCGTGACAGGGTCTGGAGCACGTTAGGCATTAAGGGAGAGTTAGAAATGCTTTGGTTTGAGAGAGCAAGGTCCTTTTTGCTGCTGCTGCTGCTGCTGCTGCTGCCGCCTGCCACAGCCCCAGGGTCCTCCTGGGGCCTGTCCTCCAGTTCATCCTCCAACTCACTTGGAAACAGTCCTTTGCAACCCTCATCATCCTCATCTTCTTCCTCTTCTTCCTCCTCCTCTTCCTCCTCCTCCTCCTCCACCTCCTCTTCTTCCTCTTCCTCCACCTCTTCCACAGGCTCTGCCTTCTCTGAGAGGCTGTCCTGGTCGCCCCCCTCTTGCTTTTCCCCCTCTGCCACCCCAGGGTCCTTCCCCTCGGAGGATTTGGTGGGACTGGAAGCCAGCGGGCCCAGGGGGACTGAGGTAATTGGAGTCTTCAGAGCCGAGCTGGTCAGCCCACCCAGGTTGAGGAGCGCACCGGGGGCCAGGACGCCTGAAGGTGGCGGCTCCGCTCCGCCAGCTGGCCCAGCCTGCAGGGCCTGCTCGCCTTCCATGCGAATGCCACTGAATTTGCCATAAAAACTGTGTCCAGGGCCTATGAGGTTAGCTGTGGAAACAAGAGGGTGCTGAAAGGTTTTGTTTTTTGGTTCCAGAAAGCTGACGAGAGGTTCCTTGTCTTTGCCTATCCCTTGGATGATAGCGGAGATGTTCTTATTGCTAAGAATTTTCCGCTCCTCCTCACTCAGAGTCATTCGGTGGTCGTGCACCGCATGGGTCACGAACGAGCGGACATACCCAAAGGAAAGCTTGCACAAGAAACACATCAGGATGGGCTTCCTCTTCCCATAGAGCACAAAGCCATCGAATTTGGACAGGTCCACATTGTTGGGAACATCTTTGGATACGCAGGAGCTTTTGGCAGAACCATCGCTGTTCAGGTAATCCTTGTTGCTTTTGTGTCGCACATCGAAGACGCGGAAGCTGTGCAGGACGGGGCTGATGCCCGCCAGGGCTGAGGTATTCGGGAAGGTCTGGTCTGAGCCCTCAAACCACTTCCCGAAGGATGAGGCTATGTGGAAGGTGTTGATGATCTGCGGGTAGACGGGGGCGGTGCCGGAAGGCTCCCCCTGCTTGGAGAGAGAGTTCGGGAGCAGCGAGGGGAGAGCCCCGCTGCCACAGGCGGCCCCGCTCTGCACCAGCTGGCTGAGGCTCTCCACGATGTAGGCCGAGCCGTCCGGCTGGTAGACGATCTCGCCGGCCAGGTTCTCCACATCGCTCTCCTCGTCCCCATCCTCGCTGCTCTCGCTCCCGCTCTCCCCCCTCAGTGGCGGGGGTGGGCGGGCGCTGGCGCAGCGGTGTTCCATGTAGCTCTGCAGGCCGGCGAAGGAGGCCGCGCACTGCCCGCAGCTCACCTCCTTGCTGGCAGGCTCGGCGCCGGGGCCGGCCGCGGCGCTGCTCTCGGAGACGCGCTCGGGGAAAGGGACCCTCAGGCTGTCCAGGGGGCCGCGGCTCTCCACCGCAGGCTGCTCCATGCTGCCGGCCGTGTCGGGGAGGTGGGCGCTGTTGAGATCAGTCCATTGCTGGTGCTGAGAGATGCCGCACCCATTGTCCTTCCCGGGGATGACGGGCGAGTCACAGCCTTCCATGGCAGGGCCGGCACGGAGCGCTCATTGCACCCGGTACGGCTGGGACCTGCAGGCGGGGAGAGAGGAAGAGAGGCGGGTGAGTCAGAGAGCAGGCAGTTCCATAAAGACCATGCACCACAAACGCCATGGGCATCCTGCTCTTTGGGATCGCGGGCAACGGCAGGAGAACCGGTGCCCCAGGTGAGCTCTGGGGACAGAAGGCCTGGTGTAAGACGCTAATGCAGCACCGGGTGTGCAGCCACAGGAAACGAGTGATAGAAACTAACGGGTGCTTGCCCCTGCCACGCTTCTGTAGTCATGGATGGGAGCAGGAAAGGCAAGAGGCTGGTCAAAGCGACCTGGAGGTGTGGAGAACCCCTCAGTCCTTCCCTGGGGGGGATGGGTAGACTGCAGGAGCTGCACTGCCATCCCCAACGCTTTCAACCTCAGAGAGATCTTCAAAACAATTTACAGAAAAGTGTCTGAGAAAAACTGAGTTAGGATGCTACAAAAGAACAGTGTTGAAGCTTTAAAGCTTTGCAAAAATTATTCTCCCTTATCCATGGCTTCCTAACTCGGACACTACAGTTTTGGGGCTATTCCCCTCTGTTAGCAGCTCTGGGAGCGCAGCTAACATCTTCAGCTCAGCTGCACACACGGAGCTCTGAGGCAGATCATGAGACCCAGAGAAACTCTCAAGAATTTCAGAGTCACAGCATTTAGTATGCACAGGAGATTTAATTGCTATGCTCTGGACAGAGTTTAAAAGGAGAGACGTCAGGAGAGAAACCAAACAGGAAATTCCAGATCTGACAAGGGTCCATCCTGAGGACTGGAAAGTGGTCAGCCCCACACGCTCCAGGAAGCTCCCAGAGATCCTGCAGGACACAGCGGGTGCACAGACCGCCTCTCCCAGCCCCCAGACACAAAGAGATGATGTGAGTCCTTGAGAAGGACGGCCACCTTCCCACTATTGCTCCTCCACCAAATATGAGACCTGCAGAACTCCCTGCAGCCAGGAGCTGCTGAGCACAGGCTGCACACCAATGTCACAGCTCCACTTGCTGCATCCCAACATGACCTCCTCCTGCACTGCAATCCTAACAGAGCCTGGGCAGAATGGCTTCCTAGGGTTAACAGACCTGTGAGAATAGCTCCCCAAAAATGCTACTGATGTGAGCTGGAGCATGGTAATGCAGACCACAGATCAGCATGAGGTTGCACTGAATTGGGAAGAGGAACACTGTAATTCTGTTGCCAAAAAGCTCAGTTGTCTCAGATGCTGTTTTGCTTACCTTAGCTAACACAACGCTCTGACACTGCCTTGTGACAGCTTTTGCCCTCCCACTGAAAATTTGTCCTTCACTGCGTGCTTGCCTTAAATCGATCCCAGATTCTTCTGCACTGAGGCTGCGTATTAATGTTCCTACGACATGACACGTTCTCTCCACCTCACTGCTACCTTCTGCCTTGAGGACAGTGATCCAAGTCAAACAAAAACAAATTCATATTGGGTGAAAAACCGAGTAAAGCCGAACTCCATAAGCCTCATGTTTCTGCTGAGAACACTGATGGGAGTATCTATGCAGACTTCAATACAATGTAGAAAAAGAGTGCCTCACTTTCAAAACACCCAGACAAAACAACATGCAGTTTACCAGCCTGGACAAACAAGTCTCTTAGGAAAGTAGAAATTAAAAAAGATAAAATAGAAATCATCATTAAGCAGACAGTAGAACTGCAAAGCACAGCAAGCTCCCTGGGAACACGTGCAGATGTGCCACAACATGAACCTGAGCATCTGCAGTACCAAGAACTCCCGATTGGCAGAAGACGCCTGACTGACAGCGGGGCCAAAAGGGCCAGCAGGGCTGGTGGGGCGGGAGGGTTAACAGCCTGATTGCAAAATCAATGTCATAAATGCTTGGTAAGTTACAGGAACATGCGGGAAGAGGAGGCCGCGATTGATAAAGGACTGCGGCTTTGATGCTGCACTGGGGACTTGTTTATTGACAAGAAAGCCGATCTCTTCTCCCAGCCAGGCCAGGCCAGGCAAACCTGCAAGCATTTACCAATTAATTGGTGGGCTCTGCTGCCGCGGGTGGCTTTAACATGTCTCCCCCACTGCAAGCTAACCAGCACTGGAGGTGCGGCTGTGGGGGGTCGGCACACAGCCCTCAGCAGGTGCAGCATGGCCCCGCACATGGCCCCGCACCTTCTGCCCATCACTGCATCTCCAGTGCTACTTCCAGAAAGCGGTGCCGTAGGAGAAGGCACAGATTCATTTCCATTCACTCATGAACCCTAGCTATTTGTTTCTGTGAACTGAAAAGAACAACTCAGTTTGTAAGCAAACCCAGCTTTGAGCAGCAGTACAGTGCCTGCAGCTCACTGTCACGGGCTCTGCCTCCCGCCCGTCCCCAGGCCATCCCCAGGTGACCCGGACAGACAGCAGAGTGCTGAGGACAGCCCCGACCCACACACTGCGCGCCCCCCACCCGCCTCACGCTGTTTATCAGCCAGTCAATAAGAAAAGGTAGTTCTTACTTAAGGAGGCAGAAGTCAACTCGTCAGGTCGATCAGCACTCTGTCTGTAAACACGGCTTCCCGTAAAATCAATGAACTCCAGTTACGGAGAGAGCAGCCTGAGCGCCACAGACTCCCCGTGCTCCCGCGCCGGGCAGTGGGGAGGGCTCTCCCTCGGTCCCTGCTCAGCCCCACACCCCATGGCTGCCCCCGGTCCCACACCGCTCCACGGGCCGCAGGCAGCACACCGGGCCACTCCGTCCCTGCAGCTCCCCCGGCAGGCCGGAGTCTGGCAGATGGCTCTCCAAAGGCAGGCCGCTGCGGGCCACGGCCGCAGGGCAGGGCAGCAGACGCGGCGCTGCAGTGTCCCGCGGCCGGCCGGCCCTGTGTCCCGACGCCCCGTGCTGTCACCAGGTGCTGCTTTCAACCACGGCCGCTTCGCTGGCAGCCGCGCTCTGACGGGAGGCAGGCAGAGTGACCCCGCGCTGTCCTCGGCCCCCCCAGCCCCATCTCCCTGCACACACCACAAATGCCATCTTTCAGCCACGCTGCTCCCAGCAGCGGCCGCAGCTCGGGGTGGCCCTGCGCTCCCCCCGGGCGGTGGCGGAGGGAGACGGCGGGAGGAGGGGTTCCTGCTGTTGCCCAGGCTTCCCGAGAATTAAATATGAACAGCCGTGCTGTGTAATTTTAAATTGTTAATTAGCACAGGGTTAATTAGGCGGCCCTTTCACAAGAGGCTGTTTGGCAGTAAACCAAGACTGGAAGCAATGAGGAAGGAGGAAAACAAAAGGAGAAAGAGACAGTGAGAAACTGTTCCCTCTGCTAATGACCCACATGGCACCATGAAAAAAGGGTGCTGAGGACAGGGAAAAGATACAAGCAGATGCATTACATCCACGGCCATTACCCTGGAAGACACCCAGGCGGCCCCCCCCCGCTCTTCCCGCAGCACACAGTGCTGCCACGAGCGGGATCTGCTCCTCGCGACCCGTCTGCAGCACACAGCTGGCTCTCTGATCCCAGGCTTTGTGCCGGGGCTGCACAGAAGACGTGGCTCACACGAGCACAGCCAGTGACTGGGCCTGAGCACCGCCTGCTCTACAAAGCTGCACAGTGGCCTCTAAACTTTGTAAATACACGCCTACCTGTTGTGCCAACAGCCACCCCATAAATCAATACCATACACACAGGCTGAGACTGCCCTTGATTAGCTCTAGTGCAGGTGCTGCTAGTTTGCAGGAGAAGAGGAAAGAGGCAGAGAGGACAAAGAAAGCACAAGGGTGAACGTGGGCTTGGAAGCCCTGCACACCCCTCCTTGGCACACTGCTCTCAGCCAGTGGAAATGTCCTCAGAGGGACACAGTACGGCGAGGTGCTCATGTCACAGCATCATTAAGGTTGGAAAAGACCTGTACAATCACCAGGTTCAACCATCAGCTTATCACCACCATGCCCAGTGACTCAACCACGTCTCGCTGAGATGCACTAGGCTCAGGAATGGAGAACAGAACCTTGGGTTGCCCCTCGGGCAGGAGCAAGGCAGTCATCCAATACATCTGGAGTGGCAACATGAACCCGGAGCACCAAAGCCTCCCATGTCACTTCCCAGCACCTGGCATGCCACAAAGCACTCTTGGAACACGCAGAAAACTGTATATGGAAAAGCACAACAAAAATCATTACTTAGGATCAAGAATTCAGAAGTTAAGGAAGAACAGAATGTATGTTGTTGCCAAAGCAACTTTAATTTTGCTCCACTATGCATATGGATTATGATACTGTCTTTAATTACACGATCACACATTGCCTCACTTAGCAAGCAGTATGGTCACATATGAGGGTAAGACAAAGTTGCACGAGCATGTTGTCACTGTATGAGATTCATACAGTAGCTGTTATCACATAAATATGTGGAAAGTCACTTCCTAGAATAGAAAGATCTTCTGAAATTTCCCAAGCGACACAAGCTGGATACTCAAGCTTTGCAGAACACAGAGATTGCTTCAATTCCTAGTTTCACAAAATGCTTTATCTTCTAACAAACACAAGATATGCGTTTCAGCTCTTTCCCATTCATTAAGGTGCCAGAAAGATTGGCAGATGTTATTACTACAGCAAGAAATGCTAAGGATTCTGTAACAGGACATGAATTATTAGGATAAAATGGTACATATGAGCCAGAATTTATACATAATAGTGAATGTAGATGCACAGCACGAGTGGTCTCTAGTTACAGGTTTCTACCCACCATATCTGCGTTCTGAGATTCTTCTTATGCAACTTCTAAGAAGAAGACTGAAAATAACGATATTTATTTGCAGAGTTCAATAATTTAAAAATAACTTCTACAGTAATTTTCTTTTTTCACATAGTAGGTTGCATCTTGCACCTTTCCAAGCAAGGCAGAGTTGTGTTTTGGCACACACCTGATCACAGGGGAACTGCCTCATCAACAAATGTGGTTTGCTGAGTATCCACAACCAGGTGCCCATGCTGCCAAGTCCTGAACAAGCTCTTTATCCGGCCTTCTTCCTCTTCTGAGCTTTAGCTCTACCTACTCAAATGCTTCAAGCCCAGCTTCAAAACTCCTGGAGTTTCTCTGCAGACACTGCTCAGTGCCAGACTGTTGTGTGCAGGGGAGATGTGCCAACTCCATTGCAGCAGGAGGGGAACTAGGAAGCCAGGCATGCCTGCTGCGGGACAAAGGATCCAACCAGCAGTGACCCACAGGCTGCATCACACACTGACAAGAGTCCAGGGGCTGCAAGTCCTCACCAATCAGTTTGCTACTACACTGATGCCAAGAATTCACTGGCTTCTGAGGGATTCAGGCAGGTCTGGATGGGACAAGGGTCCCGAAGAGGCTCAGGTAGGACACAGCGGTCAGCAGGAAGGGAAACTCCATCAGGCACCTCTGACGGTCAGGATGGCCCTTGCCCTGCAGGATGGTCGCATGGAGGGCTCATGGCCAGCAGCCAGCAGCTCTGAGGCCGGAGCTGACAGCACGACCAGCGCTGCACTGCGCACGCTCATTAAGAGGGCACAAAGCACAAGCAGTCTTACACCACGCTCACACACATAGGCACAGCAAGTTCCTCAGATCCTCACAGGATCATTAGCATAAACAGCTTTTCAAGCAGCGGGAAGCAAAGGAAACGTTGAACAAAACAGGGCTGAAAGCTGTAGAGCTCAAGCACTTGGCATGAAACTAAGAGAAAGGGTCTCCTTGAGAAGGTGAACCTTCCACATTATCCCCATTTTTTTCTGTCCTTCACACCAGCTGAAGTTGAGCCAACGAGTGCATTGCAAGATGGAGGCTGCTTTTCAGAAGGCATTTTGTTATGAACTATTATTCCGAGTTTGCTGATCCCTTTGAGCCAGCTACTGTACTACACACAAAAATATTTATGTAATTGTCAACCCACTGCTATTGAGAACAGAGTAAATCCAGAGAAGTGCCAGAGTGCTTCAAGCAAACAGCTGGGGAAAAGCTCGCTCATTCCTCCAGAGATGCTCTTTGGAGTGAAAGTATTTCATAGCAGAGGTGAACTAGCTGAGGTCGCAGTACTCTCTACAAAACAAAGCAAACCACTGCTATCAGTGGCATGTCATTCACATGCTCCTAGGACAGGCAGCTTGTTTTCACATCCTGCAGAAACCTCCCTCCTCTGTGTCAGACAGCAGAAGCTTCAGATTTTGTTTCAAAACATTGCATATTCCTTGATTCTTCAGTTTGCGCAATTCACTCCTTTGCTCTAAAACCCCAATGTTTCTTGTCAAACCTGGCTTCCAGCCTCTGCTGCAGCATAAAGAACTACACTCGCATCTGGTACCCATTTTCAGTGCAGTGTTACTGACCAAACTTCAAAAGCAAGCAAACAGCACTTGGGCCAAGCCGCTCCGCTCAGCTGTTCTCTCCACAGTTACTCTGGTCCCACACCTTGGGGAAATGGTCCCACTCTTTCTCTCCCTTGTGCCAGTCTGAAGCTTGCCATTCCTCCCCCTCCATTTTTTACCATCGTAGCATGTTCAGTGAGAGCTACCACAGCTCCATGGAGCCACTTCTGCCTAACCACGAATGGCAGCAACATCCAACAGGGCCATGTGCTAGGCAACATCTAACCCACAGAGATGCCCTGAATTGTTTGTAGTTTCAAACACCACCACGACACCATCTTTGATACATTTGTCTATACTTACACCACCAGATCACTGTTCCCTGTTCCAAGAAAGTGTAGCATTTGTAGCGAGACTACAGGATGCAAACCACAGCAATGAGTCCTGAAAGTGAGAAATTCCAGCTGGCTTTTGCGGCTTTGCTGATGGTTCATCCATTCCTTCTTCCAGTTACTGGACGTGCTGAGCAGTCCCACCCAATGAGAAACACATGGCACATTTGCACTGCTACAGAGAGCTAGCTCCTACAAACCACAGCAGCCAAGCCTCAACCAGCCCTGCAACAAGACTCCAAAAGCAGACGCAGCCAACCTTAGATGGCCCCACTCGGAAGCGAACGCGGTGCCGTCAGGCAGCACTCCCCAAGCGGTGCTCCTCAGCACAGTCTGCAGACTCGCATGCCTAGGGAAGAAGTCTTGCCAACGCTCCTTCCTTTCTGCTGATTTACCCAAACAACACGTGTTCCAGAGCAGTGTCAAGGGCCAAAGAGAGGGTAAGAGTTTGATTCATATGTCATGCAGACCTCCTCTGCCAGGGCTCAGATCCAGTCCTTGTTAGGAAACAGACACCGCCTGGTCCCAGGCACAGCCACTCCTTCCCACCCTCTGGGAAAGCCTGTGGTGCTGCGCAAGCAGAGCGCGCTCAGAGACAGGATCTCATCGGCATGAGGTCATTTGGTAACCATTCTGCTCACTACTGAGACAAACACCACGATCTGCTAGTTCTGAATTACACACTGGTGGTGCAAAGCCACGCTGCAGAAGTCACAAGCACATGTGCTCCAATTCACTACCAGTGAATTCAACACCAGTGTCTGGCACGGAGTTACATTGCTGGAAGGGAATCTTCAAAAATAAATAAACGAAGAGAACCCTGAAACAGGTAGAAAAATTTGCCAGATGCTTGGGAAACCTTCCCAAGAAGGCTACACAAGGCAAACTTAGTAGAACTGAGAGGACTTCCACAAACAGAGCACCTGCAAACTCATCCACTTACAAAACACAGCCTTG